ACCTACAATAAATATATTTTAAAAAATTGAGTAAGGGGTCGGGATGTGGCTCAGTGGTACAGCACTTGCCTAAGTATGTGTGTAGCCCTGGGTTAAACTCCTATTAGCTCCTTTAGAATCATATTTGGACTTCTAGAATAAAAATGAAAGGGACCAAGTAATGAATTTTGAAAAGTTCCACCAAAAGGCGAAGCCATGTGTGCACGTGTGGGGAAGATCAGAAGCAAGAAAAATGAGACGCCCCTTGTTCCAGCAATCTTCTGGTTTTTAAATTAGTTTTGGTAGTTTTGGGCATCTTCCCACAAACACAACTGAAATGGTTAAAGTAAGAAAAAAAGTGAAAAAGGAGGGCAAATCTTATCTTGGAACCTGCCCAAGTGGGCAGATCTGAATGTTCCTTCTCTAGATCCTGGTGCGTCTTCACGTGTTCATTTTATAGTTACCACTAAAACAATCTGTGACAATCACTGCCTATGAACCACTATTTACATCCTTTGACTTAAGTAATCATCAGTTCATTGATATTTTTGTAAAGGACAATAACTTGTGATAAAACTGTAGAAGCTTACAACCAAAGAGAAGTGCAGAATGTGACATTTACTCTTTCTGGCTGTTACTGGCCATGATACAGAATGGAAATCAATCTCCTCAGCATGCTAGTGTCCTAAATAACAGCTGCCATTCTTAGAGCACATGAACTGAACATGTCGCTCCTAAGAAAAGTGAATATACACTAGTGAACTGAACAAGCAACTCGGCAGCATAGAAGTGACTGAATTCTGTAAGGCTGGGTCCCGGTCCCAGCTCTCTTTAACTATGTGGATCTCAAATTCTTTTTGCTTCACAGGCTCATTCATTCAACACTAAAATAAGTGGGTTGAACTAGATGTGTTCTGTAGTCCCTTTTAGCCATTGCATTCAAGGTTTTAAATTGTAAACTTCAACTGCTGTTTTTCCCTATTAAAAATGAGTGGGCTTTTTTGGCAGAAATTGATTAAGCTAATACTCTCATGGAAATACAAGGAACCCAGCACAGACAAAACAATCTTGAAAAAGAACAAGGTGGAGAATTCACACTTCCTGAATTCAAAACAGTGTGGTGTTGGCATACAGGTAGATACATAGATTACTGACACAGAATTGGGAGTCTATTAACATTTATGGGCAATTAATTTTCAAAAAGGATGGCAAAACACTTCAATGGGCAAAGTTTTTCAACAAGATGCCAGGCCAACTGGATCTCTACATGCAAAAAAATAAAATTAGGGCCCTGGCAGAAGGCGGTGACCTTCAGCTGTCTGCTGCTGGTCCTGCCCCTAGCCATGCAGCTCTTCAGGGTACAGGTGTCCCCACAGGGTAGGTGGTTCCACACACTGCACAGCAGCTGGGTAACAGATGCACTGCTGGGGACTGAGCACTGCCGGGGACTGCATGATGGGCTGCTGGGCTCTGGAAACAGGCAGCCAGAGAGCACCGCCAGGGCCAGAGCGGGGTGGAGGAAGGGCAGGGCGGTCCTCTCCCTGCACCCATTGCACTCTGCTCAGCTCTGGCCGCTCAGTCCTCCTGGAGACAGCCTTGCAGCCATCCAGGGCTCGCCTTCAAGTGCAGCCCATGGGCAGCTCTCTACTGTCCACTGCTTCCCTTTGCAAGTCTGTAACCACCAGTTCTTTGGGTCAGATTTTTTTAATGTAATATGAAATCATAAATTTTGATTTAAAAAATGATATTAGATTCCCCACCTCACACATTAAACAAAAATCAATTCAAAATGGGTGAAAAAACTAACTTCAAAAACCAAAACTCTTAGAAAAAATAGGTCTCTATCTTTGGATGAGACAATGGTTTCTAAGAAATGACACGCAGAGCACAGGAACCAAATATCGTACAAGGAACCAAAGGGAAAAAATTGGACTGCACCCAAATTATAAACTGTGTGTGCTTCAAAGTATCTACCAAGTGAAGAAAAGCCAAAGAATGAAATAAAGTAATTACAAAACTTATAACTCAACAAAAAGATAAACCAATTTAAAAATGGACAAAGAATTTGAACAGTCATTATTKCAAAGATGACATACAAGTAGCCAATAAGCACAGAGATGCTCAACACCATTATTCYTTAGGGAAATGCAAATCAAAACCTCAAAAACTAGGCTGGCTAAAATAAAAAGATGGGGAATAATAAAGATTGGCAGGGATGCAGAGAAAACGCCATCCTCAAGCACATGTAGGTGGGACATGAAACAGTGTAGTGTGGTCACTTTGGAGAGTACTCTGGCAGTTTCTCAAATGGTTAGAGTTGTCATATGATCCGGCCATTCTATTCTTAAGTACATAACTCAAAATTACTGAAAATCTATGCTCATACAAAAAAACATATATGGRTGTTCAAAAGAGCATTCCTTATAACAGCCCCAAACTGGGAACAACTCAAAATGTTCAGCAACTGGTAATAAACAATGTGTACAGTATACAATAGAATATAATTCAGCCCTAAAAAGGATACTGATACATGCTGCATTGATGAGACCTGAAAACATCATGCTAAGTGAAAGAAGTCAGACAMAAAAGGCCACGTGTCACATGATTCCATTTTTATGAAATGTCCAGAAGAGGTAAATCCACAAAGATAGAATGGTTACTGATTAACAATGTGTTAGAGAGAAGGGAAAATGGGCATAACTGCTAATGGGTAAGGGGTTTCTTTTTGGAATGATGAAATATTCTGGAATTACATAGTAGTAGTGGTTGCACAACTCTAAATACACCAAAAACAAATGAAATATACACTTTAAAAGAATGAGTATTTTATAGTATGTAAATTGTACCTCAATTTTTTAAAAAAAGGTAATAAGCCCTCCTTACATAATTGATTCCCTCCACTTCTGTTTCAGGTCTCTTACTGGTTCATGAAAACAGAAATAATTGGAATGATACCTGACATGTACAATCCCACTGCAATACAAGAAAATTTCTTAACAAAAATATGTGTAGATATCTGATAGTCCACATGCTATTTTTTTATTCTAAACAATAAAAATCTGAGTTTCTCTGAGTTCATGATTTATATCATCGTTGTTTCTAAAACTTCTATTTTTCCTAAGTAACTGAGACTAAAAGTCTTCATTTTAGTAATACTGTCATCCAGAAATGGGCAGAAGTATTACTCTTCCAATGACACTATTAGCACAGCCACCTTAAAGCACTACTGTAAAATTTAATTCCTGTTCATAAAACCATAGAAGGGCTGGGCAAGAAATAATCTTTTCAATAYTAGTATTATGATGTAATATGCATAACCAGATGCTTTAAACCATGAAACAACTGCAGACTTTCTTTCCCATGGAATATAAATAGAATTATAGACTTTATATGGTAAGAGACAAAAAAAATGTTTAAAATACATTTTTTTTTAAGTGCTAAAAAGAAAATATACTCTTTATCACCATCTGAAACACTGGTTTGTATATCTGCTCTTCAGTATCAGAAGGCTCTAAACCTGTCTTTCCTTTTTTTTTTTTTTTTTTTTTGAGGTACTGGGGATTGAACTCAGGGTCTGAGTCATGCTAGGCAAGCATCTACCACTGAGCTACATCCTCATGTCTTTTTAAAAATTTTTATTTTATTTTGAGACAGGGTGCACTAAGTTGTCCAGGCTGGCCTCAAACTTGTGATCCTTCTGCCTCAGACTTCCAAACAGCTGGGATCACAGATGAGTGCCATTAGCATGATAATCCACAGTAAAGTTTTGGAAGCATTTGAAACAAATATCAATTCTGATATCACTGGGTTAAATTATACATAGTTTCAGATAAGTTAAATGAAACTGATGCTCCTAAAAATRCTAAGTGTAAAGAAGAAGGTTTAGGTACTTAAGAAGAAATAAGTGTCAAGGTCTGCCATGATTAAGCTACTTTCTAAAAAATCATCAATGGATTACAGGAGGGCAACATGGTTTTCACTGCTTAAGTTCAGTGAAAATTGCATATATTCAACTTTTACTCTCAAACACAAGTGGTTTATACTATATCGGGACAGCAAAGAAACTCTTATCCAATTTTAGTACTTTTGCAGTAATGTGTATAAAATCCAACCACAATTTAGGTAACCTTAGGAGAGAGCAATCCTAAGAGATTAAAACATTTACATCTTTTAATTAAATTGTACTATTATCTTATAAAAATGTGAGGTTTAACTTTGTTTTCTTAAAAATAGAGCACTAACCAGTTTCAAATACAGCAGTAACCTAGGTGATAGCTAAGATGTGTCTAACCTGTATGAGAACTCTTAAGACGATAACACATCCAGGAGTTCCTTTAAATGACATATATTTAAATGATGCTATCATAATTCAAACTGAACAACAGAATCTTGATAAAACAAGAAATGGGAGAAATGAAAAAATGATTTCTGAACAAAATGTGTACTACATCACACAAAAGTGAGTCACTGGGCAATATAGGCATGAAGCAGATATGCTCCATGCAAAAACAGATTGCATATTAGAATTCAAGAGTCATAGCACACATGCTGTTTTGTTTTTTAAATCCCTAAGCTCAAAAAACTGTTTTATCAATTTTGCTTCTCTTTTGTAACACATCTTTTTTAAATAACTCTCACTTTTCATTCCAGAAAATATAAGAAACAGTTTGCAAGACTGCCTGCAAACCATGTTTCTCTAAGGCCATGAACTGGTTTGCTAAGTTGTATTGTATTCAAGTAAAAAGTCCTTCTAAAATAAGGGGTCTGTAAAAGAAACCAATTACCTTCAATTCTCAGGCCTGTACACTTGTTAGGACCTCTAACATAGTGAAAGCCAAAGGTAGGGAGCTCATTTGGGCATTAGCAAAATGGTCTCTATCTCCTTTTTTTTTTTTTTTAATAGCATTGGGGATTGAACCCAGAGTCTTAAGCATGCTAGGTAAACGCTCTACCATTGAGCTACACTCTTAGCCCACTATTTACACATTTTAAAAATGTAATACATGTTCAGTTTTTCTGGCAGATTTCTTTCATATGTTACAAAACAAAACAGCAAAAGCTTAAAATAAGATAAGAATCCTTTTTCTTAGAAAGGTCAAGCAGATACTTCTTGACATCCTGTCTTTTACACAATAGCATACTGTTCATATAAAAGGTCTCTTATCCTATAAAAATCTTGACAAAGGCAGCCTTCTAATCCGATGCGTCCAGTTTCCGTCTAGAAATCAAGTTAAAAAAAAAAAAAGCTCTTTAGTACATTTTCTGATCATTAATATGCAGACATAATAACCAAACTATATTAAATAGATTACTTTATGATTGGTCTGGAAATGGGTTGCTGTTAATCACAGAATTATGGATATAATATTCAAGTAGTGAATTTAAGACACAAAARTGTCAGAGGATTCAAATAATATAAATTTACCATAAAATTATCATTTTTATAAGCCTCAAGCTCATCATTATAAATATAAATTACTGATCTTTCGTTTTATGAAATTACTAATAAAGAATTTCGTAATTCAAAGTGACAAAAACATCAGAAGCATCTTGTTTGATTTGGTCCTTATTAAAAGCATACTTACTCTACGAACTGCTACTTGATTGTTGCAAACAAGTACACCTCCTACAAATTCAGCTTGAATCCCCTCCCGTAAAAGAACTTGCTTGAAGTCTGATAGTCTTGGTTCATTCATAAAAACTGACTGATGTCCAGGAACCTTGGATGAGGTGAAAGGGAAAAGAATAACCTCAAGTAAAATACCAAACACAAGGTTGTACTGTATAAAAAACTCTACGTGATCTCTAAAATATTTTCCATTATTCCCTGAAGTCCTTCAACAGATTGTTTCAAGACTGTAAATCACATTCCAAATTTGTTATTCTGAATCTTGCTTCATTATTTAACATTACAAAGCCCTTCACATCTTCTGATGTTTCACAATTTTATTAGTCATGCCTCCTAATAAAGGACAAGTGTGATGTTATACTCTTCACTCACACACTTGCCCAGAGAGGGTCAACTAGAGGCCAAGAAGCAGTAATGAACCAAAAATTCCTTTTTCACATCTTAGTTTCCTTTATTTTTAGTGTGGAAGATAATTCTTCCAAAATCCCATTTCCACTTTCCCTCCTCCCTCAGAGTGAATGCAATGGATGCCATGGGTTCAGAATCAGAATGTCAAGTGGATCTTGCCTAATGCTTCAATTCCTTGAAATTGTTCTGAAAAACACTAGCTTTAGAGAGAAAAAAAGATTCTCTTAATTCCTCCTCCTAATTTCAAGAGTAGTACTAGAAGGGACTCCAATGACAGGCTATTTCTCTGGTCTCAGCCCTATAGCAGGGCTGCAGACTTCACCTGACAAGCCATGTGGGACTCTTACAGTTTTTAATACTGTTCTAAGTTTCATTACCTAAAATCTTTGCTAATGAACTAGATACCTCTTGAGAACATGTAAATACTAGCCTAGAATTATAATCAAACCTAATAAAAGATTTCTAACTGTACCAAAACCAAAAGTGAATTAAAATGAACTGAAAATGCACAAAAATGGAATGCAAGAGAATGACATTCTCAGGTGATCCCCACAATCAAACTTGATATTTAAAAATCCACACTGAAGGCTGGGGATATGGCGCAGTTGGTAGAGTGCCTCGCTTGCACAAGGCCCTGGGTTCAATCCCCAGCATCACAGAAAAAAAAAAAAAAAACACATCATGAAACAGAAGATTTGCTAACGGTTTCCTTTAAATTGTTACTAGCCATAGAGAGCTGACACACATACCGAAACACGCCTTGATTCATCTTTTTTTAAGAACTCCAAAATTAGCCTATATAAGATATACTTTAAATAGTTAAAAACATACAAGGAAAACTAGGAGAAGGAAAACTTAAGGAAGCGACAGAAAAGGCATGGGCTCTTACCTCATGCGGTGGCAAAGGCTCCAAGGTGGGGATGATCTCACTTTCTTCACCCGTTTCTTTCTCATCATCTCCAAACAGACTTTTCATGGCCTTTTGCTGAGCTATTACGCTGGCATCGGAAGGAGCGTCCACCTGCATCTCTGAGTCTTCACCATCATCCTTTAGTTCTCCTTCTTCTAAAATAACTCCTGTGTCTACTTTGGAAACTCTCATGTCTAAGACACCATCTATCCATGCTAATTCAGCATCTTTTGCCTTACAAAACTGAAGGGAGCTGACAAGTGAATCTTTTAATCTCACCTGAATATGCAAGTGGGAGGGGGGGGAAATAACACCCAGAGTATAAATTAACAAATAAAATATAACTGCTTACTGTCATTTTCTAACTCTAACATACGCTTAAAATCTGAAAATCTTTCACTCATCTGATCCTCACAATGAATGACCTGTAAAGACCTAATTTCTTGGAAGATCATCAGGGTTCTTATCTACTTTCCAAAGTGCAGGTTTTCTTAACCCTGACTACACATCAGAATTACATGGCAATCTGTTTGTTTGTTTGTTTTCAATATTAACACCAGGGCCTCACCTTCAGTGGTACTAATATAACTAGTGAGATTGAGACCAGAACACTCAGATGGGTCTCATGTGTATCCAAGGCTGAGAACCACTGAGCAGTCTCCCGTCTGGTGCTTGGTGTACTTTAGTTATGAGCAGTTTGTGCTTTCCTGAACACACCATGCAGTTTCACACCTCCATGTTCTTGGAATGCTGCTTCCTCTTGCTCTGTTCAGAATAACTTTTCTGCCTGGGAAATTCTAAMCCTTGTTTTCCTCCCCCTGATAAAGACCTCACCCCTACTTTAAACTGTCACTTTGTCCCACAACCAGATTAAAGTTCATCTCTCCTCTATACTAATCCTGTTTTCTATGCCTGACTCCATTTCTCCATTTGTTTCAATTAGAAGAACCCTGATATCTGTGGGGTTTGTTTTTTTTACTTTTCATTCTTGAACACTCATCATTCTCTTTATTTCTATACTTTTATAAATACTGTTCCCTCTGCCTAGAACACTCTTTGCTCCTCTTTCCTACTCCATCTGTCCCGACAACCCAGCTGCATCCTAGCAGATGTTCAGATTAGTTATTTTCCAGGAAACCTTTCCTACACCTCCAAATATGGGTGGGGTCCTCCTCTTTCCATTCTCATGGCATTCTGCACTTCCGCTAGTGGAGATCTAAGTGTGTGTGAAACACTACTGACTTGTAAACCCACAGACTATCGGATACACTAAGGCAGGAGCCACATAGGCCTCAGCCCCCTCCCCTGGTACTCCAAATGTATCTGTCCTAATATGCAACAAAAGTACTTATTTCTAAGAGGCTCAACTGTCAGCATATTTACCTGGTAGATGTGTGTTTCACTGGTGGCATCGACTGTTTCGTGTAGCTTTGGCATGTACACTTTAATATCCTTCCCACCAAACGCACGGCAGCACTCTGCCAGATCTTGACTGGCCTCTGGTGGGCCATGGACAATGATCAACTGTCGTGGTTTCATCTGATTAATGATTTTCTTAATGGAATCCCCATCAGAGCGTCCTTCATAGTCGATATAAGTAACCCTGGCTCTGTAATTAAACATGATTATTCAAGCTTACTTTTCCGATAAAAACTAGGCTTTCTAAAAATGAATTTTATCATCAGTAAAGAAACATACAATATATAAAATGATGATTTGAGAAATACATGTTATATTGTTAATAGCATTAGTTACATCTTGGCTATACCAAAGTATATACAAAAGATATCCCTGCAACAAATAAACCAATTTGCTCACTGAAGACTCAAAAAAAAAAATTTCCAAAATAATCACTTATTGATATTATTAACATATACTAAGTAAAAGGGAAAAAAGGCTTACCTACTTCAGATCATATTAAATTTTCTAGACATTAGCACACTGGAGATATTTGAGTCAAGGAATACATTTTGTGAAATGAGCAGTTACTAAGAAAAATTAAATTTTTGAGCTGTATTACTTTCTTCCACCTGTTTTTGCACTTACTAAAAGGCTAGAAATAAATGTTTCTCCAAGTAAATGTAAAATTTCCTGTTCAACTCATCCCCCTCCAACCACTAAATCAATTCTTTTGGTATTCAAATACTGTTAATGAAGAGAAAATACCATCATTCTTCACAAGTCTTTTCATTGAAAAATAAATTATTATTACCATTTTTCTGGCACTGGGCATTGTGCATGCAAGTCAGTGCTCTACCACTGATATTAAAATTTAAAAGCATAAACTTACCAGAGGACATTTGAAAATTTCATTTTTGAAACAAGGTAAAAAGACTTACTTTATTTCAATAGACTCTGTTGTAGAAATACACTTGGTAGGAACATCGGATAAATCTTGATCCATGGGTTCATCTCCATTTGTCAAGCCAGATTCTAATTTGCTTTTTTCTTCTTCAGTAGCTTGAAGTTCTGGCACTAAGAAATCCTCTGGTCTAAATAATAAGTCTCTAATTAGAAGTAGTAAAAAGCAAGCTAATATTATATAATACATATAACTAACTAGTAGGTGGCATAATTTTTAGACTCCTCACATTATTTTAAGACTTAAATATGCATTTGATCCAAAGCCAGGACAATTTCATAATATCAATTATCAGATGACTATATATGTTATGTTTCTCCTAACACTAAAAAATGCTCTTTAAGCACATCACATGAACTAGTGAAAGGCTTCTGACAGGTCATTAGAAGACCTTAGTGGCTATAACAAGTGCTGTCATAAGCTGGTCCTGCATTTAAAAAAAAAAAAAAAAAAACACTTCATTTTTTAGTTGTGGGTGGACACAATACCTTTATTTTATTTTCATGTGGTGCTAGGGATCGAACCCAGTGCCTCACACATGGTAGGCAAGCTTTCTACCTCAGAGCCACAACCCAGCCCTCATACATTCTTATCAATCATTACTTTGGGCCAATGTTTGTGGTTTCCTTCATCAAATCCCAATACCTATAAATCTCAGAACTCCTCTAACGTATTTAAGACCCCCAGTTACTTCCTTTCTGCCCAAAGAAAGCAGAAGACTATTTGCACAACACTGAAAAGATTGGCATAAAAAATTGTTAGCTCCCTCATAGCCTTCATCTTAATTTCAATGTATTATTAACACATTGCTCTTTCCATTTTTATTTCCAATATCAGAATCCTAACCAAAAGTAAAACCAAAATCATCTTTTAACATTCTCTCTAACCTCCTATAACTGTCTATGCTTTACTCCCAAATGCATTCCCACTCCTGAGAATCCATATCTCCTCGAAAAACCCAGGTAGTCCATATCTCCAACAACAATCTAAAGAGTAACAACAGCAGTAGCAACCACTTAAAGCACATTTATTATGAGCCAGATTCTATACTAAGTGCCTGAGAAACACAACCTTATGCTGGGGAGTATAGCCTGAGTCTAATCCTTAGCATCCAAAATAAAACCACCAACAACAAAAAGCAACCTCGTTTAATTCCTATCACCATTTTTCAGATAAGGAYGTTGAAGCTGAAGAGCACAGTCCATATGTTAAACACACAGGCCACTTATCAAGTGGAATAGTAAGCAAACTTGCTAGAGTGAAGTTATGTTTCCTCATTATTTTAGACAGCCAAGTAGAAATGGTATTTTCCTAATTATACCTAAGAATGACCTAAGTCATTCTACATGCAGAAGACAGCATTATGGAAGAAAGAAAGAAAGAAAGAAAGAAAGAACAAGAAATACAGAGAAACAAAGCCAGGTGGAGGTGTAAGCCTGTGGTCCCAGCTACTGGAGAGGCTGAGGCAGGAGGACTGCTTGAGCCCAGTATTTTGACACAAGTGAGGGCAACAGAGGGAAACCTGGTCTCAAAAATCAGGGAGGGTTGGGGTGGCCCTAAGCAATTTAGTGAGATCCTGTCTCAAAATACAAAATGAAAAGGGCAAGGATGGGGCTGGGGATGTGGCTCAAGTGGTAGCRCGCTCACCTGGCATGCATGAGGAGCTGGGTTCAATCCTCAGCACCACATAAAAATAAAATAAAGATGTTGTGTCCACCAAAAACTAAAAAAAAAAAATTTTAAATATTAAAAAAAAAAAGGGCAGGGGATGTGGATCTGTGGTAGAGCACCTCAGGGTTCAATCTCTGGTGTGTGTGTGTGTGTGTGTGTGTGTGTGTGTGTGTGTGAGAGAGAGAGAGAGAGAGAGAGAGAGAGAGAGACAGAGAGAGAGAGAGAGAGAGAGAGAGAAAATATGAATAGAAAAGTAGGAAAAAACTGGATTGTGAAAGACACTGTGATTACGCTGAGGCACCTGACATCAACCAGGGAAACAACAGAAACTGCACCCTGAGGATTTCTACACAGGTTAGTGGTGTATTCAAATCTGCAAACAGAACATAATTTCAGTAGTTTTTCTAGTAGAGGGTGTAGATTTCCCATGGTTCATCTCATATTCCTCTTGTAACTAAATCCACTTCCTAAACTACAATTACCACTGCAAGTTCTTTTTATCCTATGTCCTTCACCCAAGCATGGCCATTACTTCTCTTCTCAAGTGGGGGAAAGTCTAGGTCATCTTTTTAAACTTTCCCTATAACTAAGTAATAAAACTATCACTTCTCCCTTAATATTAATTCTCCAATGTTCCTCAACATTTCTATGTTTCAAACTATAAATCTATATCCTTTAAGCCAAGATGCTCAGAACTTAAAGTACATGGTGACCAAAAAGACTAAATCACTGTGTTTAATTAAACACTGGATCCTTAAATAAAAAAGGTTTTGTTGTGCTCACATACTTGATGATCTCTCCGTACTCGTCCCATTTAATCCTTTCTTCTGGGGCAGGAAACATGGGATAAGATTTCTTTGCCTGTTTGAAGAAGCTTCCTTTTCTACTACCTTCACCTTTCATCATCAGGTCGTGCTTTGTCTTATGAGCTGACGGCTGGTCAATATCTTCCTCCACATCACTCTCATCGCTGGAATCAATATCTGCCCTAGGAGGAATTTGGAATAGATCAAGGTCACAAACATCCAAACAGATTTTGAATTAATATTTATAAAATAATAATATTGAATGTTAATTCAGTGACTAATTCAATATTAATTTGAGTGATATCATAAAAATACTTAATATGATTGGATCAATATTTTATAAAACATTAACTGCCGGTTCATAAATATGTTTAATATTAACACCAAAAGGATTTGTTACTTTAGCCATTTGAAAGATGTAACAAAAGTAATGAAGTCCTAAGAAAGTTGAAATATTTTCAACTGAATGTTTAAGTCTTAGAAATACATTTCAAATTACATACATAAAATTGTACTATTTATGAAAATAACTCACTCTTTTGATTGTTCAAGTTTTTTAGCAGCTTCCTTCTTTAGCTTCTCTTTTTCCAAGTATTCTTCAAGTTCTTTCCCTTCAAGCTTCACACGTTTCCTCAACTAATGAAAAACAACAGACAAAATATCAGTATTGGGGGTTAAGGCAGTGGGATGTGAGATACATCATAGTTCTAAACTGATTCATCATCTTTAAACTTTTCTCTGAAATTAAACAAATTTCCATTAATGTAATTATAAATCCTATTTAGATTAGTACTAAAATTGAGTTGTTTTACATCTAAGGTGGGTTTAATTGAAACCGGTTAAAAAGCAGCGGGCAATCTGAAAAAGAAAATACAGGTTAAGTATTTTTATGATTTGGAGTAGATGAGGCWTATAAAACCCTTATACGACATAAAGCTCAAAAGACAGAACTAGGAGTGGTGGTGCACACCTGTTATGCCATCTGCTCAGGAGGCTAAGACAGGATTGTGAGTTCAAAGCCAGCCTCAACAACTTAACAAAGCCTTAAGCAACTTAGCAAGACTGCATCTCAAAAAAAAAAAAAAAAAAAAAAGGCTGGGGATGTCAATCAGTGGTTAAGTACCCCTGGGCTCAATTTCTGGTACCAAAAAATTAAAAATACACCACCACCACCACCAACAAAAAACCTTTAAGTCTCACCAAATTAAAAGAAACAGAAAAACAGTGGCATATCAGAAGCTACTTTTTCCTAAGAACTCTTTCAAATCAAGAAAAAGGGGGCTGGGTGGTGGCTCGGTGGTAGAGTGCTTGCCTGGCATGTGTGAGGCACTGGGTTCAATTCTCAGCACCACATATAAATAAATGTTCATCGACAAGTAAATATTTAAAAAAAGAAAAAGGTAACACATCATAAAGGACAAATATATATAAAGCAAATCCAGTAAAAACATTGAAAACTGAGGAATCTGGGCATACTATTTTTGTGACTTTCCTGTTAAGTTTGAAATTAGTTCAAAATACAAAGGAAAAAAAGTTAAACCAAATTCAGGCACTTCTAATATAAGTGAATTACATGTTTACATAGGTATCCCACATCTGTCTAGTAATTTATCTGAAAACAAGTTTCATTACAGTGTCTTTTGTTCATTACAGTTAGTAACTCACATAGATACTTTATTCATAAATAAGTTTATTTTGTTTTTGTGGTGCTGGGGATTGAAACCAAGGCCTTGTGCAAGCAAGGCAAGCACTCTACCAACTGAGCTATATCACTAACCCCCATAAATAAATTTTAATAAAACCTTTACCTTCATGATTTATTATGCCACTGCTATCATAAACTTTGGTCTCCATCGATCATTTATAAAAATTTTTTTAAAAATGCATGTGGGGGGCTGGGTTTCAATCCTGAGCACCACATAAAAATAAGTTAATTAAATAAAGTTTTGTGTCCATCTACAACTAAAAARAAAAAAAAAAAGGAATGATATACTTTCTCTGAATCCTTGGGGTTTATAGAAAATGGGGTTAGGGATGTAGCTCAAAGGTAGAGCACTTGCTCAGCATGCACAAAGCCTTGGGTTCAATCACCAGCACCATTAAAAACTAACACTGGGGCAGGGATTGTGGCTCAGTGGTAGAGCACTTGCCTAGCAGTGAGGCACTGGGTTCTATCCCCAGCACCACATAAAAATAAAACTAATAAAATAAGGTATTGTGTCCATTTACAATTAAAAAATTATTTTTAAAAAATCTTAAAAAAACTAACACTACTGTAATGTACACTTAAACATGGTTAAGATAGCAAATTATATGCATTTTTTACCACCACCACATAAAAGATGGCTTTGGTCACCTTTTATTTTTATTATTATTTTATTTATTATTAAGGGAATGAAAAAGTAAAAATAGAAAAACCAGTTCAGAAACTACTGCAGAGTCTAGGCAAGACACTTAGCATTGGGCTAGGATGACAGCAGAAGAGAGAGAGAAAAGTAGATAATACAAGATACGTCAGGCGGTCAGGTCAATGTAACTTGCTGAACTAGGTGTGGATGTTGAGAGAAAAGTAACAAAAAAAATAAGTTGAATGATCCATGCATTAATAACCTGTACAGGACACTGGCTACCCCCAGGGTTAGGGAGAGACAGATTCAGGAAGTAGGCGTATGTAGGGCTGATTCTATTTCTTGAACTAGGTGCAGGCTATACAAGTGTGTTCAATATGTGAAAAATATCACACACTATACTTATGATATGCACATTTCAGTATATATTATACTTCAGTGAGCATTTTTAATTTTCTAGATTTTTGGCTCGAGTATAAGGGGAAGCTTTCCCATGAGGAAGACAGAGAAGAGCAGGTCAGGAGGAGGGGGGAAAGGTAAGTGTAAAAATTGTTTGGGATATGATCAAGTAGAGGGAAAAAAAGATGAATGATGGAGAGAGAAGAGATAACTGCAGAAGACATATCCCTAAGAAGGTGAGCAGGAAAAGAATCCTCAACACAAGTATTACTTTTTAAATACTAATTTTTTTTTTTAAAGAGAGAGTGAGAGAGGAGAGAGAGAGAGAATTTTTAATATTTATTTTTTAGTTCTCAGCGGACACAACATCTTTGTTGGTATGTGGTGCTGAGGATCGAACCCGGGCTGCACGCATGCCAGGCAAGCGCGCTACCTTGAGCCATATCCCCAGCCCTAAAAATTTGTCATATCCTATTTCAGCTGCTTCGGATTTCATGAGGACACATTGGAATGTCATTTTCTTCAAAGTTTTAATATTTTTTTATTAATTCCTCAAATGGCATATCAGGCCTAATTAAATTTCTAGTAATTAAAATTTTTAAATTCAGTATTTTATATCTCATTAAACTGCTTTAAGTACTTCTGAGTTTTTAATTTTGTATTTCTAAGCTACTAAGTAACCTAAGACAGTATTTTACTTTGATATACTTTCTCTGAATCCTTTGCTCAACAATTCTGTATTTATAGTCAATACATATCAGATATTATTTACTAATATTACAGTTTTCTTATAAATAGGTTATATAAGGCAAAGATACAACTTAGCTTTTAAAAACCAAATGATCTTTTAAATGGTTGCTATGAAGACAAAATGAAAAGTAATCATCTAAAACTTTACACAACCCTGGCACTTATTAACCAAACCATCCAATATCGATGACTATAAACAGTAGAGTCAATGATACTAGTTTTGGAAAAATGACAGATCTGATGGATTGGTTATCAAGCCAAATCATCTTTTAGCATCTTGGTCATTCTGCTAATTGTCTGCTAAGGCAGCAGGTCTGGATGCAGGAACAGGTTAGTATATTTAGTGACAATGAGATACAGGAATTCCTGTCTGACTACTTCCACTTCTCTGCTACTTTTCAGACAAGATCATGTGCTATGAATAAGAGTGTATTATAGGACATTTAAGGAATTAGAGGCATAAAAATGTCCTTACTAGAGAGAGAGAAAACAAATATCCTATAGAATATAGAGTGCTAATACTAGGTGCCCTTTTGAGATGTGAAGTCATGAAAATATAGAAAAACCTATCCACACGGTCACATTTAACTCCAGTGAAAAAGCTGCTTGAATGCAGGTACAGACTAAGCAAATAGTTTAGTGCCAAGGCTTTGCCAGGTGAGTAAAATAAACAGAAGAATGGTAAGAGATTAAAAGGTGTTTACTAAATGATTAATCATGGATCAATGACTCTAAATAAGAATGCTGGACAGTGAGATTCACGAACTGAAAGTCTCAGTGGAACCAAAGAGCTCTTGACATGGGAGTAGAAGGGAAAGTCAGCTGTAAGATCAGAGTAGGGGAGTTGAGGTAGAGGGCAGGAGAGGGGAATGGACAGCCAGGGCAGAGTGGAGGAAAGCTCACTGAGAAAAAGGCATAAGGAACTGAGAGGACTAAAGAACTGGACAGAGCAGCCATGTGGACGCTCAAGACAACAAGAAAGGAGTCCTGAATACAAGTGGGCAAGCAGGMCATGAACTAGGGTCTAAAATCACTGATGAGTGACAGAGAACAACCACAAGATTAAGAAATGTCAGAAACAAAGAGGGATTCGTATATATATCATCAGGTCTGATGGCATAAGCTGCAAAGAAAAGAAAAATGGCTTAAAAATTGTAGCACAGAACAAGGAGGAGACTTACCCAGCACAAGAAGAAATGAGAAAAGGAAAAGCCTATCTATTTAAGAGGCCTATAGAAAAGAACACTATGCGAAGCAGCCAGATTTCAATTAGGGAAAGCAAAGACAGGGAACTTTTCAGAGAAAGAAGATACTGTGTATATGTATTCCCTCCCAGTATGATTCTAGAAGGTACCCTGCAGGAGTTTAAGATTGAGAAGAGGCTTGTAAGTTTGTGCTGTAAAAGGCTAACTCAGCCTTAAAAAAGAATGAAATTATGGCATTTGCCAGTAAATGGATGGAGCTGGAGGATATTATGCTAAGTGAAATAAGCCCATCCCAAAAAACCAAAGGCCAAACGTTTTCTCTGATATGCTAATTCACAATAAGGAAAGGGGGGCTAGGGAACAATAGAGTTATGACCAGTGGGACTCTACATCATGTACAATCAGAAGAATGAGAAATTATCCTCCATCTATGTATGATGTAACAAAGTACATTCTACTGTCATGTATAATTTAAAAAGTAAAAAAAAAAAAAGGCTCTCTACTGTTATTCTTTTTTTTTTATTTTTGTTTTTCTTCTCTACTGCTATTCTTAAAAAAATTCCAAAACAATTTCAAGTTTTGCTTTTGGTCCCTGATTTTTATACATTATGCATAAAATACCCCCAAACAGTTATATGATACAGTGTTTGCTCACCTCTATTTCTGTAATTTTTTCAGAAGGATTATCAATTAGGAAACGTGCTAAAGTCCCAGGAGTAGTTCTATAAGTCAGAATGATTGAGTTTTTAGGGTCCTGACACCACTGAATAAAGAGATCCCTTGAAAATCCACATTCCAGGTCAGGTTGGCTGGCAAGTACAACTTTGGGGCTAGGCACACGAGCCAAGTCAGAAAGACCGTGGCACAAAGAGAGATGGCGAAACTGAAATGGATTATTTCTTTTGTCTTCAAAACATCTCATCAATTTATCACTCATCCATTCTACCTAATATAGGAAAAAAAGATGACAATTATTAGAAAATACTGTAACTTCAATGTATTCTAAAACAGTCAAGGAATTCAAGTTCTATCTTGTTTCAAGTCTTTTTACCCCACAGTAGCTTAAGTCTATACCATTTGATAAGCAAATTGTGTTCCCCATTAGATCCTCACACCCCTAAAAATTTCATCCTTAAAAAATCAAATTCTGTACTGTTTCATTATAAGTGATCTAAATCTTTTAGAGAAGGCAGTGTATATGTTCTAAATAAATAACTTACCCTACAGACTGATATTTCAAGAGAAACACCTTATTCAAAAGAAAGAACAATGAATTCTAATATTTATATCCTATGAAGTAGGATATATATTTATCCCCATTTTACAGACTGGTAGAACAAGAGTTAGAAGAGAAGCAACCTGCTTAATCTGTAAAATGGAGGCAAACACTACTTCATAGGGTGCATGTAGATTAAATAACACATACATATAAAGCACCCATAGCCAGTAAACAGTTAATGCTACCTATTATTATTAACCACCCCTTCAGAAAAATGAAATACAAAAGGCAATTAAGACACTAAAGTCCATAAGCCCAATCACTGTAGCAAAGTTCTTTATTATGGACAATAACAAACCTGGGACTTAGAAAACTCCACCACATTATAACTGACATTATTTAGGAGTGCCAAGGAGTAAACACCCAATCCTGCATCTTTAGTTCTCCAGATCTGATCAAGAAGTTGAGCAAGTTCCAAAACTCTGCCTGCAGTGTCCACTGCTATTAATACATTTCCATCACCTCGAAGTGTTTCCAGGACATTCGCTAGAAAACAGGAATGTAAAATCTTTGTAGTTCAAAATTAATACTTTGCTATAAAATTAAAGACAACTCTGTTTCCCTTTTTTTATGACAAACACTATAATTTATACATAAGCAATTACTAGGTCAGGTACAAAGTGAAAGAATTTTGTTTAAGTCACCATAACCATTTTTTTTTTTTTTTTTGCAGTTGTATCTGGACAGCTTGCCTTTATTTTACTTGTTTATTTTTATGCAGTGCTAAGGATCAAATCTAGTGCCCCACACATGCTAGGAAAGCACTCTGCTACTGAGCTATAGCCTCAACCCCAGCACATCCACTTTTGATTCTGTTAAATATATCTTCATAAGAGTAAAAAACAATACCATTAACTCTCAATTTTTTAAGTTCCTGAAAAATTATAAATCAGTAGTTCCTAACATTTTCATGTCAAGTCCACATAGAAAGTGGTACTTRTAACACTGGGAAAATTCAATGACTAGGTCAAATGCAACCAGCTTGGGGCTTCYAGGTCATCCTGGACTTACCACCTGTCTAGCCATATGAAGTTTGTTAAGATTAATTTCCAAATTTATATGTACATTCAAACACATGCACATAATTTTATACATCTGTGTGTAAATATGTGTGTGTGTATATTTATGTGTACATATAAAATATATATTTTGTATACATGTAGAATAAAATATAGATCATATTCTCATATTCTCTTCCAACAAAAGCATTTTTATAAATAGATTTCTTTGCTCTGGTAAAAGTCTTAGAAATACTTGGTAAAAGCAAACTCTAGCAAATAAACAAACAAATAAAAGCAAGAGCTTTCTAAAATCAGTGAATTACARAAATGCAATATACTATTTATACATAAAAGAAATTTTTTTTTTGTAATTATASATGGACAGAATGCCTTTGTTTATTTTTATGTGGTGCTGAGGATCAAATCCAATGCCTAACACATGCTAGGCAATTGCTCTACCACTGAGCTACAGCCCCAGCCCTAAATTAAGGTAGTGGTTATTAACATATGTATTTAATATATATGTAAATATTGTATTAACATAGTGAAATCTAATTTTCCCATTGAAATCTCATACAACTTATTAAAAAAAAAAAAAAAATGAAGTGAAGCAGCTCAAACCAAAGCAGAAGTGAACCATAATGGCTCAGAGGCTCTTGAAGACCAAGATGACTAATTATAATTAAAACACCCAACGCCAAACCAGAGGACTATTTGTACCTTCATATCTTCTAGTTTTCTTTTAGAGTGTGTTTTTCTATTAAATATGTATGAGGTCTTTATATACCAGTAGCACCCAGGAGAGCTAACTAGCCATGTGTTGAATGGCAGGGAGAAGACAATTCACATCCATTCCACAAAAGCATTTTCTTATACAAAATACTGAGGTGGCCATATATTTCTTCAAAAAAGTAGTAGTTAGCCAATCTCTTTTGACTAAGTTAAACACAATTCACAGTGATTCATGCTACCATGCACTCACAAAGCTCTTTAAAGGGGACAGTGGATAATACATACTCAGAAGTTGTTCATCTCTCTGTTTTCTTCTAGGCTGCACATATGTAGCATTAAATGAATCTGTGATAAGTAGAGAGGGTCTGCTTAGCATTTCCAGGGAACATCCATTTAAGTGGCTATAACAAAGTTTAAGAAGAATATTTTATATCATTCCAAATAAACAATAATAGCTTCTCTTAAAAAAATAAGCAATTGCTTTTAAAAGCATTTTTTATTTCCCTGGTTAATATATTTGCTCGTTAATTTTTTGAAATCTGATAAATTCAAAATGTATAAAGAAAAAAAAATTTCCAGAGTACCATCATTCAAGATTACTGATWTACTATTAGGTTCATCCTTCTAAGCATATAAATTTTTCTATGCATATACATATGCATTTTTTAAAATTTTTTATTCTGAGACAGGGTCTCATTAAGTTGCCCAAGCTGGCCTCAAATTTGTGATCCTCCTGTTTCAGTCTCCCAAGTTGCTAGGATTACAGGAACAACCCCACCATGCCCAGCTTATGTGTACATTTTAAAAAGTGGCTATCCATGTATGCTTCTACATTCAGTTCTATATCTGCTTTTTTTCCCCATTAAAATTTTTTCCTAAACCTAATTTTTAACAATTGTGAAAACTTTCTATCAAGTCTATACTACGTTTATTTGATCATTTCCTTGATATTTAGGTCTCTTTTTGCCATTTTATCTTTCAAAGAACATCTTTACAAAAAGCTTCAGTTGCATTCTGATTGTTTTTTAAGGACACATTCCCAGAAATGTATTTATTAGAATATACAAGTATTACTAAATACTAGAATATTATATATATATATATATATTATATATATCGTATATAAAATATATAATATTTATCTTTTTAAGTTATTTGTTCTAACTTGTTATACATACAGCAGAATGCATTTTGATTCACAGTACACATATGGAGCACAATTTTTCATTTCTCTAGTTGTACACAAAGTAGAGTCATACCATGTGTCTTCATATATATTATGTAATGTAATTATATATTTATATATAAATATATTTATGTGTGTGTGTGTACATACACACACACCACACACACACACAACTACCTTTATTAGAATATACAAGTATTCCAGAAAACTCCCTTTTCCAGGAAGGTTTACCAGAAAGACTAACTCATGAACTCACCAATATTACTTTCTTTTCTATTTAATTCTAAGGCATTTGAAATTTATTTTGTCATATTATAAAAGACACAATTAATTGATTTCCAATATTGTTAAGTTCGTTTACCATTTACTCAAACATCCACACTGTCTTCATTAATCTATGATTACAAGAGTCTAAACTCAATCTATTAGTTTTAAATATTTCTTAATATAAAGACCTTGAGGCTACTTGTAATATAAAATATCGATGAACAATGTGTAGATATGGCAAAAGAAACCTGTATGAAACCAAACATCAAAAATGTTAAAATAATGCTGTACCAAATGAAATATGTAAAATTATTATTATTGTGTCCTCCTTTAAAGGGAATCTGACATTATTAGAGCTGATAAATTCAGCAAAATAGCAAGAAACAAAATGAACATACAAAAATCAACACTTTTTCTATATACCAATATAATGAACACTCTGAGAAACAAAGCAGAAAAACAATTCCAGTCACAGTAATTTAATTAAAAA